GTTTTGTTTTTAGTGACATATTAGTAGATAACCACTAAGTGTGGTTCAGGATGCTTACGGGGATTCTGTTGCATCTAGAGATAGGTGCCTGGTCAGGAAGTAGGTCTTAGAGCTGTTAGCGCTTAGCTTCTGATAATTAAAGTAAGCTATGTGTAAATACCGAATGAGAGAATACTAATGGATCATGGCTCATATATATGCAACAGTTAAACCTTTTTATTAGCTAAGATTTTCATCTGGCCTAATTTTTTTGCCCTTTTCTTTTATACATGAGGATTCTTTCATTTTTATGTAATATAAACTTTATGAAATAGAAACTTTCATTTGTACATAATAGAAACTTTATGAAATTAATCATGCCAGATAATTTAAATGATAAATTATTGAAAATAATTTTTTAAATGGAATTTTGCCTCATGTTACATAGGAGTAATCAGTAAGATGTTAATAACTACTTTTATTTTATGGTATTTGTATCAGAAGTGACCAGTTTTTTTTTTTTTTATTCTTAGTGATAGAAATAAGAAGAAGTAATTGTACAAACCATGTAAGTAAACAGTCAAATAGTTAAGAAATGGATAGTTTGGCATAAAAGTATCTCTCTCTTGATTTCTTTAAATTACAATATGGACCCAGTGGCGATAGTATGGACCCCTTTTTGTGGATTTTCTTTTTTTTTTTTTTTTTTAGATGGAGTCTTGTTCTGTCACCCAGGCTGGAGTGTGGTGGCCGGATCTCAGCTCACTGCAAGCTCCGCCTCCTGGGTTTACGCCATTCTCCTGCCTCAGCCTCCCGAGTAGCTGGGACTACAGGCACCCACCACCGCGCCCGAGCTAATTTTTTGTATTTTTTAGTAGAGACAGGGTTTCACCGTGTTAGCCAGGATGGTCTCGATCTCCTGACTTTGTGATCCGCCTGTCTCAGCCTCCCAAAGTGCTGGGATTACAGGCTTGAGCCACCGCGCCCATCCTGGATTTTCTAAATCTCTTCTGTTTTCCTAAGTATTAAATTTATCCAGAAAAGTCTTTAGCTTAGGGTGTCCTTTTAAGGATTTCTGATATTTAAGTTAAATTTCAATAGTCTGGTTGTGGTAAAAAGATCTGCTTTAAGGCCGGGCGTAGTGGCTCACACCTGTAATCCCAGCACTTTAGGAGGCCAAGGGCAGACAGAGCAGAGTCTCCTTAACTATATTGTGAATGGAATTAATACATCGGCATAGGAAAAAGAAAGATCCAGGAGAATTGCAGAAGTGCT